TGGATTCTGTTGCAAATAGAGGTTGATGGACACGGTGTTCCCTTCCTTCAACAGGGTGGGAGTGAGCTGCCCACGCTAGGTGATGGGTGCACCTGTAGCCTGGGATGGGTGCTGCTCACTGTTCTCCCAGACAGGGGTGCCCGTCACCCTTCTCTCCCGGGGACCTCCGTTTCCTCACGTTCTCGCCAGGGCTGCTGGTCCCCAGACCAGACACCTGCCAGTCTGAGGGTGACCAGTGCTGCCTCCATAGGGTTTCCTTTGCCAGAGTCCTTCCCCGGGAGCTCCTGCATCTCTGACTCCCCCCATGCCTGTCCCCCTCCCCTTGGACTTGCATGCATGTCGTCTCTGTCCCTGTGGAACCCAGTGACTTGGAGCATGGTTTGGACCAGAGGCATGGGAAACCTTTCTGTGGCCTTGGGTTGTCAGCAATGCTTTGGCCCTTTGGGGTGTGTCTTCCAGTTTTCTGCATTTCCCTGGTTTCTCTGTGGGTCACAGGAGGAACCAGCCCTTTCCTGTCTGGGGTCAGGCTGAGGTGTCCCAGCAGGAACAGGGGTCTCCGCCCCGAGATTGTGTCCATATTTACCAAAGGGGGCTCTATGGTTCCATCTCATCTGTAATCCATCAGGGATTTCAACATCAAATAAGGGAAATTCTATGTCAAGTCAACACAGAAAAGAAGGAGTCCCCTTTGAAAATAGGGGGGCAGACACAAAGGCCCATACTGTGTGATTCCACGTACAGGAAACATCCAGAACAGGTAAAGGAACAGAGAGAGGAAGCAGCTTAGGGGTTTCCAGGGAGGTCTTCTGGTTCGGGTACTTCTTTGGGGAGGCAGATATTCCACAGCCATGTTCTGTGGTGTGGTGGCCCAGCGTTGGGAATGTACTGATGCTCAGGACTTGTTCAACTGAAAACAATTCATTTTATTTAAAATGAATAATAAACAGCATATAGGACATGGAAAGAGAATAGAACAGTTAATACGAACCAGAGAGAAAGAACATAGGGGGAGGGGATGAAACAATCTGGCGGGGCATCGGGGTCGGGTGATGGAGCTAAGGGTAATGGTACAAGGAGCTCTCCCCGTGAGGATGTGGGCTCTGGATGTGGTTCTGGGAGCCCTGCAGGAGCAGGAGGAGGGGCAGGGCCAGATGCAAGAGCAGGGCCAGGGGCAGGATCCACGGTAAGAGCTGGGTCAGGGGCAAGTACAGGAGCACAGGCAGGGCCAGGGGAAGGGGCAGCGGCCCTGGAAAGCAGGGGAAGGGGCATCGGCTCTGGCAGGGGCAGGAACAGGGACACAGGCAGGGGAAGGGGCATCGGCTCTGGCAGGGGCAGGAACAGGGACACTGGCAGGGGAAGGGGCATCGGCTCTGGCAGGGGCCGGAACAGGGACACTGGCAGGGGAAGGGGCATCGGCTCTGGCAGGGGCAGGGGCAGGAACAGGGACGCAGGCAGGGGAAGGGGCATCGGCTTTGGCAGGGGCAGGAACAGGGACACTGGCAGGGGAAGGGGCATCGGCTCTGGCAGGGGCAGGAACAGGGACACAGGCAGGGGAAGGGGCATCGGCTCTGGCAGGGGCAGGAACGGGGACACTGGCAGGGGAAGGGGCATCGGCTCTGGCAGGGGCCGGAATAGGGACGCAGGCAGGGGAAGGGGCATCAGCTCTGGCAGGGGCAGGAACGGGGACGCAGGCAGGGGAAGGGGCATCGGCTCTGGCAGGGGCAGGGGCAGGGGCAGGAACAGGGACACAGGCAGGGGAACGGGCATCGGCTCTGGCAGGGGCAGGGGCAGGAACAGGGACGCAGGCAGGGGAAGGGGCATCGGCTTTGGCAGGGGCAGGAACAGGGACGCAGGCAGGGGAAGGGGCATCGGCTCTGGCAGGGGCAGGAACAGGGACGCAGGCAGGGCAAGGGGCATCGGCTCTGGCAGGGGCAGGGGCAGGAACAGGGACGCAGGCAGGGGAACGGGCATCAGCTCTGGCAGGGGCCGGAACAGGGACACAGGCAGAGGAAGGGACAGGTGCAGGGGCAGGGGGTGGGTCAGGGGCAGGAATGGGCGCACACGCAGGGGCAGGGAAACGGGTAGTGAAAGGGGAAGGAGCTGGGTCAGAGGCAAGGATAGGAGCACAGGGAGGGGCTGGGGAAGGGACAGTTGCAGGGGCAGAAGCCGAGTCAAGGGCAAGAACAGGAATACAGGCAGGGGCAGGAGAAGGGGCAGGATCCAGGGCAGGAGCTGGGTCCGGGGCAAGAACAGGAACACAGGTAGGGGAAGGGGCAGGGGCAGGGGCAGGAGGTGGGTCAGGGACAGGAACAGGACCACAGGCAGGGGCAGGGGCAGAACCCGGGTCAGGGGCAAGAATAGGAGCACAGGCAGGGGCAAGGGAAGGGGCAGGATCCAGGGCAGGAGCTGGGTCAGGGTCAGGATCCGGATCAGGGGCAAGAACAGGTGCACAGGTAAGGGAAGGGGCTGGTGCAGGGTCAGGAGCTGGGTCAGGGGCAAGAACAGGTGCACAGGCAGGTGCTGGGGAAGGGGCAGGTGCAGGGGCAGGAGGTGGGTCAGGAGAAGGGACATTGGCTCTAGCAGGGGCAGGGGAAGGGGCAGGAGTTGGGGCAGGGGCCGGAACAGGAGCACAAGCCGGAGAAAGGGAGGGGGCAGGTGCAAGGGGAGGGACAGGGTCTGCCGCACTGGCACGTACAGGACCCGGGGCAGTATCTGGGTCAGGGGCAAGAACCGGGGCACTGGCAGGGGTAGGGATGGGTCAGGATCCAGGGCAGGAGCTGGGTCGGGCGCAGGAGCAGGGCCACAGTTTGGGGCAGGCGCAGGGGCGGCGGCTCTGGCAGGAACAGGGGCAGGCTCTCCGGAGGCAGGTTGTCCAGCAGGCCCTTCCTGGCCCCCGTCAGGCTCTCCGTGGGCGGGTGCTGGGTCACCTGCCGGCTCCTGGTCTCCTGCTGAAGTCGCAGCCACCACCCCTCCGTCCAGAGCTGCCGGTGGAGTTGGAGCCGGCTCTAGCTCCTCAGGTGGTGGAGCAGCTGTGAGAGGAGAAAAGCTCACCCCGAGCCTGCTCTCCGTGGAGACAGAACCCAGCCCAGGGCCTCCCAGAGAAGCCGCAGCCAGGAAGGAGACCTCCCCGGGGCGTCTCCCCGACCGCAGTCCACCCGCTGGGCGCTCTGAGCCCAGTCGTTGCTCCAGGCCCCACACCAGGCTCTGGGGGCTCCTCCCTGTGGGGCCAGCCCCCACCCTTCCACACACACGCACGGGCACCCAGCCCCGGGCTTCTCAGCCTCAGGCTCGGCCTCCGTGGGCTCTGGCTCCTGGAGCACAATGCAGTCAATGACCACCAGGGACAGTGGTCTGGGTGGTGTCGGAGGCCTCTCCCCGCAATCCCCAGCACCTGCTCCAGGGGAGTCCTGTGGGGTCATGCTCCGGATCCCGGACATGGAGTGGGTGTCCGCCAGCCTCGTGCCGATCTCATCGGAGGTCTGCAAAGACAGGGATGGGTAGCCGGCCCGGAGGCATCCCAGTCCTGCCCGGCCAACCTCCCTGTCCCCTGCCCAGTCGCCCTGCTGCTCCCAGATCAGACACACACCTGTGGGTGTACAGCCCTGCACGCGGGACAATGACCCATCCCTGCAGGGCGATCGAGACAAACCCTGGGCAGAAGCTCACAGCCCCCCACACCCCATCCCACCCAGCCAGCCTGGACCTTGAACATGACCTGCCCATGCGTTATCTGACCCCTCATCAGCCTGCTCTTGAATGGCGTTGGCCCACCCCACATGACCCCTCTTCACACACACACACACACACACACACACACACACACACACACACACACGCACGGAGGGGAGGGAACCTGGGGCTGCACAGGTGGATTAGACCCTGTGGGGCTGGGTGGCCGGCTCTGGGCCTCCTGGTGTCACCTTTCGGGCCTTCCGGCCAAACGGCCAGAGGCGGTGGGGAGCCCTGATCGGACATCCCCAGCGGGGGCCAGCGTTTGCAGGGCGGGCTTTCTTCAGCCTGCAGCATCCAGACTTAGGGAGGCAACAAGCCCACATGTTCATGGTTGGATGATCTCCAATGAAATGAGCTGGGCAAGGGGCTGTCTCTGGAATGTGGGTGCCTGGTTACCTGGGTTCCAAATTCTGTTGGACTCTGTTGTCAGGGAAGTGAGGTCACCATTGCCTGGGGTCCCCTTACCCAACTTCCTCCTCACACAAGACCCCACCCCCGAGGGCCCCCTCCCCCCATGCCCCATCCATACAGTGACTCCCTCACAGCCCACCCACAGCCTTCCCAAGGCCTGGGTGCAGCCGGTGTCCCCGCTGTGAGGACACAGAGCTGGCTTCAGACTGGGCTCCTGTGCGTGCCCAGGGCTGTGACCCTGGACAGACCCTGTGCCTCTCAGGGCCTCCCCAGGCTCCCCATCTGCACAGTGGGGTGTTCTGGCTTCTACTCCTAGGGACGCCATCAGGGGTAGGACCTCTACATACATTCCGTACTTGCTATCACAGGAGGCTGGGGCACACTTGGCAATGTAAGGATGAGCCAGGGGCTGGGCGGGACATGGAGCACAGCTCAGAGGGGCCTGGGTCTGCTCTGGGGTCTGGGCAAAGCCACCCCCTTCTTGCCTGTTACCAGCCCCTGTGGGAAGGTTGCAATGAACGGATTCCGACCTTGTCCCCTGGTGACGCACACTTCCAGGGGCTCCCATTAGGTTTAGGCTCAGGCCCCGGGGCCTCGTCTGCGCCCATGTGCTGGGCAGTCCCCACAGTGGTTCCCGGGCATTCCCACATCTTGCTCACACATCCCTGTGGAATCCCCTCCCCTCCGGGGTGGATGGCCTGTGTGACCGCGCTCTCAGGAAGAGAATGGGGCAAAATGCTGGGATGTCATTTCCAAGCTGATGGAGGAAAGTCTGTGACTTCTTCTGGTTCCCTCTGTCGTGTGTTCATTCTCTGTCTCCTTATCTCTTTCTGTCTCTGTCTCTGTGTCTCTCACAGGAGCAGGATCTGTGGACTCCAGGGGTGATGTGAGAAACCTCAGAAGCCTCCCTTGTCCGTGTTTCCCTCGTCTGTCCCGGTGCTCCATTCCTTCCTAAGGCCTTGTCACCCGGACCAGAGCAGTGAATCTGGAACCTCTTCCAAATGGAGACCCGGAGGCTGCAACAAGGAGGGTCTTGGCCTTGGTCCCCAGACTAGTGGTCAGTGCTCTGCCATGTTCTGCGTACCCAGGTCCTCAGCCCCCCAAGTCCCCAGTCTGTCCCCTGCTCAGAAGGACCTCGAGGGAGTACAAAGCATTTTCCCAGGACTGGGAGCACAGTGGGTCGGGGATGGAGATCCAAGGCCAATAGGCTCTTCCACAAGCCTGTGGGACCCTAGGGACACTGCATCTCTACAGCCCAAGTGACAGAAGAGTAAGCTGAGGCCTTTGTGCTGTAGCCCCTCTGGACTTGGGGGTGGGTATCTCTTCCTGCTTCCAAGTGCCCAGGCTGGTGATGGACACCGGAACCCAGACCCTGTCCTCTCCCAGTGCCCTGGCAACCCTTCGGGGCCCCTTGGGGACCCCTGACCCTCAGCCTGGCCTGTCTCCCCTCCCCATGCTATGGATCTGGGTCCTTGCCAGGAGTCCTGATGCCCTGCCCCATGGCCCAGCTGTCTGCAACCTGTTTCTTCTTTCCCCCCTGTCACCCACCTCGCTCCCAGGGTGTCCTCCCCTTCTGACCCCCAGCTGGGCAGTCAGAGTGGTGTGTGTGTGGGTGTGTGTGTGTGTGGGGGGGTGTGTGCAGCTGCACGTGCCTCTACGTGCCTGGGGATGCCAAGGTCATGTCCCCACATGGAACGGGGTGGGTAGCTCTTCCCGAGGATCTGAGTGGCTCTCACCCCCAAAGCAAACCTCATGGGAGGGTTGGGACTGGCCTAGGACTGGAGAGCAGCTCCTTGGACTCTGCACCCCTCAGTTGTCCTGGGCCAGTCCCTGCCTCTCTTGACCCAGGTTCCCAACTGTCCCTGAGGGTCGGACATGGAAAGGCTTGAACGTGGCTGCTCCTCCAGGGGTAGGTGGGGGACAGGTGCACCAGGCACGCAGGCCTCCCCACCGAGAGGGCCAGCCAGGTGTGTCATGGCCAGGTGTGCACAGACGACCTGCCCACAGCTCCTGTACCATGACCCAGCCCTGCGGCAGATGTGCACGAGACCCATGGCTCCGCACCTGACTGGTTCCCCGCATTCCCTCACCACCTCGGAGACAAGGGTTCTTCTTCGTCCTAGGGCCCGTCATCCTTTGGACAATGAGAGCAGAGGGATCCGTATCTAGAGGAGGCCGGCAGGGCGTCCCACGGAGTGTCGTGTGCCCATCTCTGCTTTGTCGTCTAGGCTTAGCGGCGGACCCCCACCTAGAAAGAGGCCCGTGGGGCAGGGACATTTGTCTGCCCTGTTCCCTGAATTATGGAAAATGTCTAGAAGGGGCTTCCTGTCCATGTGTGGAGTCGATGAAGCCCAGCCAGCACCTTTCAGATGTCTGAGTGGCTCTGGGGCCCCTCTGCCAGCCCCCAGGGATCCCTGCTCTGGCTCCACCCAGGATGGGAGCCCCAGATGGAATCTGAAACCTCCTCACAGCCAGGAATGCGGCTTTGCCCCGGACACAGGACACCGAGGCTTGGGGCAGAGAGCTCCTTCATGGTGGAGAGGAACCGCCTCAGCCCCAGGCCACCCTCCCCGTGGGCCGGCCACAGGGTCGGGGAGCGGTCCCAACAGGCCCGACGGCAACCCCGTGTGTGGGGCCTGGCCTCGTGGCACGCAGGGTCCCCAGGAGACACCTGAGGTTCAGAGAGGGGACGTGCCAGGCCCGAGACACACAGCCCGCAGGTGAGGGGGAGCCTCCGGGCGGGACGGGGGGCCCTGCTCACCTTGGTGAGCAGCAGGTGTGGGAAGGGCTGGGGAGGCGTTCCTCTGGGAGGTGCTCCGGGAGAGGGGCCACAGGAGAGGGCCTGGCCCGGCTCCACCAGCTTCCTCAGGCTGTCAGCACGGACTGCCCACAGCCTCTGGCTCGCCCCCAGCGGCAGGGCCCACTCAGGTTCACGGTGGGGCTGATCTGCGGTAAAGGAGGGACAATTCACAACACACAAACTGCAAAACTATTCCTGTCCGTGTCCTGAAGTGCAACAGAATATCCAAATTGGTTCAGATCATCTTCCACGTATGTGAAGGGTGATTTTGTACCTGGCCAAGGCTGGGGCTGGACCGGGTGTGTGTGTGTGTGTGTGAAGGACCAGGTGTGTGTGTGTGTGTGTGTTTGAAGGACTGGGTGTGTGTGTGTGTTTGGCGTGTGTGTCTGTGTGTGTGGGTCTGTGAAGGGAGCAGCCCAGACCCCTTGGGTTGAGATCATGGCCACGTAAGGGGCACAGCCGTCGTGGCACCCCGGGTCGTCAGTGTCCCGGATGGCGTCGGGGCAGGAGACCCTCCCGGCCCTCCCCGAGCCCGGTCCTGGAGCGCCCTCGTCCCCACACTCCCCCTGAGCCCGCACCAGCCCTTACCGACTGCCTGGTGCACGTGCCCCACGCCGGGGAGCCGTCGAGTGAGGCTCCTGTTGACCAGCTTGTCCCCAATTTCTTCCATGGGGCTCTGCGAAGACAGTGAGCGGCGCCCGGCCCGGAGGCATCACAGCCCTGCCCAGCCGTCCTCACCGTCCTCCTGCCCAGCCCCACTGCTGCCCCCAGATCAGACACAGCCCCGTGCGGGCACAGCCCTGCGCCCGGGGTGCAGTGACATGTATCGACAGGGCTCCGGATCAACCCTGGGGAGAAGGAGGCCGCCCCAGCACACCCCGTCCCACCCAGCCAGCCTTGACCCGGGGTGTCAACATGATCCACCCACCAGGCATCTGGCCCCTCATCACCCTGCTCCTGCTCAGGGTGGGCTACCCTGCCTGAGACCTCTGCACACACACACACACACACACACACACACACAGGAGGGGTGCTGGGCTGCACGGTCGGATCACAGCAGTGTCTGGCTGGCCTGGCTGGCTCTGGGCCTCCCTGTGTTCCCTTTGGGCCCCTCCAGGCAAATGGCCAGAGGTGTCAGGGGTGGGACCTGACCCCAGGTCTGCAGTGTAGGCAACGGCTCTCACTGTCGGCTTTGCTGAGACCACATCCTGGGGACATCGGGATACAGCAGGATTGCAGCATCTCCAGCCAAGTGAACTGAGTAGGAAGGGGGCTGTCTCTAGAATGTGGGTGCCTGTGACAGCCCTTGGGCATCTTGGGGACGCCCTGGCCATCAGCCTGGCATGTCTCCCCCGAGCCCCATGCTACGGCCCCGGGCATGTTCCCAGGAGACAATGCCCACAGCCCACGGCCCAGCTGCCTCCAACCTCCTCCTTCTTTCCCCCTTGTCCCCTCCAGGGTCCACGCCCCCTTGGACGCCCCTGGGGAGTTTGTGTGTGTGTGTGTGTGTGCGCGCGCGCGCACGCAGAGCCTTGTGTGTACGTGTGCCCGCGCGAGGGTGACCAGAGGAAAGGGCCCCACATGGGAGTGTGGGCAGGGGTCCCCCGGATCATAGGGGTCCTCGTTCCCAAAGGAAACCCCATGTGAGGTGAAGCTTGGCCTCGGAAGCTGGAACCCTCCCTGTTCCTCTAGCCTCTGCTCAGCTGGTGGGTCCCAGGCCAGTCCCTGCCTCTCCTGCCCTCAGTTTGCCGACTGTCCCATGAGGGCTTGGAGGAGGAACTTCATTAGCGTGGCTCGGCGTGGCCGGTCGGCTCCCACCTTTTGGGTGGACGTGGCGCAGGTGCACTCTGGGTGGGTGGGGCCCTCCCACCAATGGTGGGTCGGAGGCAGGTGGATCCTGCGCAGGCGCACACGGCCCAGCAGACGGCGCCTGCGTGGGACCCAACCTGCCAGCAGGCCTGCGCAACCCCGAGGGGCTGGCTGTGGCCTTGGTCCTCCGTGTCCCGATCTCCACTGCCTGCTCAGTGACCCTCACGTCCTCTTAGGCCGGGGGCCAGCCCCAGTCCCGCCAGGCAGGGCCGCTGGACTGAGTGGACATGGAGACCTGGGGACTAGAGAGAAATGAAATATACCCCCACTGCCGTCCTGGCCCCCACGTTCCACTTCAGTGTTCATCTCAGTGCATGGCGGGGGGGTCAGGGGAGGGTGATGGGGACACGTGTGGGCAGGGAGGAGGTCAGGCCGCCTTTGCCTCCTCTACATCCCCTCCCCCTGTCTTCCTGGCAGCAGCCCCTCTCCCCAAAATCCGGCACTCAAACACCTTCATCTCCCTGCTTTAAACCCCAACCCATCCTCCTGAGGTGGGAGTCACTGACCCCATCTCCAAAGTAGAAAACTGAGGTCCCAGGAGTTCCCACAGGAGCTTGCCAGTCACAGGGCTGTGACATGGCCCTGCTGTGGGTTTGAACCCAGCTCAATCTGACCCAAAGCCTGAGCTTACAGAGGAGCCGGAGGAAGTAGCCTTTGAGCCCGGGCTTGGAGGTGAGGCCACCCTGGATGGGGGTCATAGGGAGGGACGGCAGGGGTTCTGAGGGGCAAATTCTTGCCGGGCTCCCTGGGGGACGAAGGCCCTACAGAGGCTGGAGTGGGCTGAGGGGTGCACACTGGGGAGCATGTCTAGACCAGATCACGCAGGGCTCTCTGGATATTGGGCAAGGAGTCAGGGGACACTGCGGGTTGGGGGGTTCAGGGGACACAATCCGGGCAGTCTTACCAGAGTCACAGCATCGTAGATTTAGAAGGAGCTTGGTGGGCATGTTATTGTCCCCACCCAAGCATGGGGATCACCAAGCAAGCACCAGCCAGAGGTGAGGAGGCTGCCGCAGTTTCCTCCTGTGTAGAGTGGGGCCGTGGTGGTCGTCTGCGTCCTTCCAGGCCTGGGCATGCTGCCTGGAAGGTCCAGAGGTGGCTTCGTCAGAGTAGCTAGCTGTTTCAGTGAGGTCAGTACTCAGAGACGTCTGAGTCAGGAGACCAAAGGGACGCCCCACGTGCCCAGTTCAGCAGGATGCTCTTGTACATGGTGCCGATCTTCATGTCCAGGCTGATGGGGTTGAGGCAGCAGCGCCCACCTGCTGCATGGAGAGCAGCAGCGAGGAGCCGTGGTTGCAGACCCCGAGACACGGCGCTCGTGTGAGTCCGAGGCTGCCACAGATGTGATGGAGGCTGAGGAGGGGGAGGTGCTGACAGAGGCTGAGATGATGCCTGAGGTCTGCAGCGACGACTGGGAGGTCAACTCCGGAACTTGAGGAACGGCAAGGCCAGCAGAAACACCAGACTGTGTAAGGCAACCCCGGTCAGCATCTAGCCCAGAAGCTTCTAGAGACTGAGTCTTCTTGGCCCCTTGTGGCTGTGGAGTGGGGATCCAGGCTCCAGGAAGGGATGTCTGTCAGGGAGAAAGGGTGGGACAGTCACCTCCTTTTCCTGGCCATCAGGGATCCTGGGACAAAACCCACACTAATGTCCTCCACATCTACATCGGGCTGGAGGAGCATGCAGAGCGGGTAGGCGATGTCCCTGCTGCGCAGGTAGGGGCTGCATCTGAGCTGGTCCCAGGACTTGGAGTGAGCGCTCCTTTTGGTCTTGGGTGTTGTGTTGGGGGTGCGGTGGCAGAATTGAAGGGCTGACTTTGCATTGATCCGACACCCTGGGTGAATGGGTGCTCTAGGGTGTCCGTGGGCACAGGTGGCTGTGACCCACACATGGGAAGGTGTGAAGGAAGCACACAGAAGACAGTGCCCTGAGCTATGCAGGTTTTCTGCTCATGGGCAGTGCTCCTTGGCAAAATTCAGCTAGTCTGCTTGTTCCTAGAGCACAGAAGGCCCCTAAGGTCGTGAGTGGTTCATGGGAAGTCAGGTCAGTCTGTTGCTGGGCATCATGCCTGGCAGGAGGAGAGCTTCAGCCTGAAATGACGGTCTGGGGGTGACCTGGAATGCCAGGTGAGGTAGAAATTGCCCAGGTAGCCTGATCCACTCCAGTCTGTATTGCTTCTCTACCCAACAACCCAGACCTAGACAATGGCCCTCTGGCTGGCTGGCATCTGGAACAGTTAGAATGTTCCTCTGGTTCAGTCGAAG